TCCCTGACTGTGGCTCCAGCGAACCACACGGTGACGGAGGAGGTGAGGATGGACTCGATGATGGCCGTGTAGAACTGCACCAACATCTGTGCAGGCAGCTTGGCTTTCCTGAGCTGCCGCAGGAAGTACATCCTCTGCTGGGCCTTCTTGATGAGGGAGCTGATGGTCGGCTCCCCACTTGAGGTCCTGGGTGATGGTGGTGCCCAGGAAACGGAAGGACTCCACAGAGGTGATGGGGGAGTCCATCACGGAGGGTGGGGGCGGGGGGGACAGTGCTCTTCCTGAAGTCCACAATCATCTCCACTGTCTTCTGGGCGTTCAGCTCCAGGTTGTTACCACTGCACCAGGACACCAGCCGGTCCACCTCCCTCCTGTAGGCGGACTCATCGTTGTTGGAGATGAGTCCAATGAGGGTGGTGTCGTCCGCGAACTTGATCAGCTTCACGGAGTCGTGGCTGGAGGTGCAGTGGTTGGTGTACAGGGAGAAGAGCAGGGGAGAAAGAACACAGCCCTGTGGGGCTCCTGTATTTATAATCCGAGAGTCCGAGACATTCTTCCCCAGACGCACTCGCTGCTTCCTGTCCGTCAGGAAGTCAGTGATCCACCTGCAGGTGGAATCGGGCACGTTGAGCTGGGTGGTGGAGGGCCAGGTTAATGGCGTCGTCTACAGATCTGTTGCAAGCCCCGGCGATCCAAGATGGCGCCCTATTCAAATGAATGGTTGTGCTCAGTGGCGCTTTGTGACAGCATGGGGGCTGAAAGATTAGCGGAAGTTGCCTGAAACTCGCAAAGATCTATGGGAAACTCGCCTGTATTTGGGCATCGTCTGGTCCTCCCGGTTCTGTGCAGTGGATGATCTCCCATAATGCGTTGCGCCAAACACGCGTGTGTGGGTCTCACACCAGGTCTCACGCATATGCACAGAGGGGCTCGGCCGCTCTCCGACCAATCAGAGCAGTTCATCAGAGCGGGAGTTAGAGCGAGAGCCAGACGAGCAGAGTTTGTGGTACTAAAGTGTGGATTTAAACAAAACCGAAGGATTTAAGAAGAAAAAAAGTTCAGGATGACAAGGGACACTAAAATCCCCACAAAATCCGATCTTTATTAATTTTTAATTAAGTTTTAATATGCATTGAGTTCTATGGGGAAAATTTCTGGGTAGCCCACGTGAATTTAGTCTGGTTCAGTCTGCAGTACCGCGAGAATCCCCTGAGCACGTGAGTTATTCAGCTACAAGCTAGTAATACCCTATCCAGTTAATATAATACATCCATGATCTGTTGGCTCTGTAGGCGAACAGCAGGGGGTCCAGGAGGGGGGAGGTGAAGGACTTGAGATGGGAGAGGACCAGGCGTTCAAATGACTTCATGACGACAGACGTAAGTGCTACAGGTCTGTAGTCATTGAGTCCTGTGATCCTGGGCTTCTTCGGGACGGGGACAATGATGGAGGATTTGAAGCAGGCCGGGACATGGCAGGACTGCAGAGAGGTGTTGAAAATGTCAGTGAACACAGGAGTAAGCTCACTGGCGCAGTGTCTCAGAGTGGCCGGAGACACGTGGTCCGGGCCAGGAGCTTTGCGGGGGTGCAGCCTCAAGAAGAGTTGTTTAGTCTCTTTAGAGGCTATTGTTAGGCTGGGGGCAGGGCTGATGGGTGGGTCGTTAGAGTAGTGGGGGGTGGGGGAGGTGTCAGGGGCAGCATCAAAGCGACTGAAAAATAAGTTCAGATTGTCAGCTAGCTTGTGGTCGTCAGCACAGGGGGGGCTTTGGGTTTGTAGTTGGTGATCTCCCGTAGGCCCCTCCAGACAGAAGCAGTATCGTTGTTACCAAACTGCTCCTGTAGTCGTTCTCTGTGCCGGGACTTGGCTGCTTTCAGTTCTCTCCTGAACTGATATTTAGCTGCTTTGTAGCCGCTGCGGTCCCCCTCCCTGAAAGCAGACTCCTTTGCTTTCCTGAGCTGCCGGAGTTTAGCAGTGAACCAGGGTTTGTCGTTGTTATAGATGACCCTGGTCCTTGTTGGAATGATGCTATCCTCACAGAAGTGAATGTAGGACGTCACAGTGTCCGTGTATTCATCCAAGCTGTCTGTGGCAGCTCTGAAAAGGTCCCAGTCTGTAGATTCCATGCATGCGCGCAGCTCTTCCACAGCTTCATCAGACCACAAATAAGCATGTATCAGACTGTACCAAGCTGCTATTGCTAGTTTATACATGATCTACAATGCATTAAAGTGAGATGACGCTTTTCTAACTGGTTTGGTTTGACAGACAGTGCACGGTGGAAGCTAATGCTAACTTCTCTCCGAGCGTTTGTGCTTCTCCTGCAGGAGGTGTCTGTATCTGCAGGGTTTGTATTTGATATGAAGATGTTTTTACAGCGGTTTTAATCCCATCCTCAGCATCCACACCCGCAGAGGCACAGAGAGACTCCCGTGTATTCAAAGTGCCGCTGTAACTTTGGAGACGGATCTGTAATTGTCCGTCTCCTTGTTCTCGTTAGCTCAAATGAAAATTAATGCCCTGCACAAACACATTATATCCATCACTGAGCGCGAGGTTCCAGAATTGTCTTTGCTCCATTCGTTTGGGAAAGAAATGACTTCAGATAATTATACATCGATGTTTGTGTCTCCACAATGAATGGTGTAATATATTAGTCGTCAATATGTACGTTCTCAGAGGGAATTGGACTCACAGTCTATGGTTCTGCAGGGCTTTCCTTCCTGCAGCTGTCAGACTGTAGAACGAACAATGAGGACTCACCAACACTGCCGACCTAATAATAATAATAATAATAATAATAATACGTTTAATTCGATCTGATACGTGTACAAGAAACAAAAGTAGAATATCAAAATAGTGCATAAATCACATTTACATAATACAGAATTATAAATATTATATACACAAGAGAAACACTTGCAGATACTAAAAAAGAAGCGGGAAGAAGAAAAAAACATATTTAAACCCGCTCCGGTTGCTTCAAACATATCACTCATTGAGCTTATGTTTGCTCCAGGACAAAATCAAAGCAAATGGCACATTTTAATCAACTGTTCAAGTTCTAAAGTAACAGACCAAAAGTTTGACACACCTCATTCAAAGAGAAAATTGTAGATTGACACTGAGGGCATCAAACCTATGAATGAACTCATGTGAACTATGTACGTACTAAATTATATAATCTGGTTCTTCAAAGTAGAACCTTTTGTTCTGATACTGCTTCACTCTTGGCATTCTCTGGATGAGCTTCAAGAGGACCTGAAATGGTCTTTGACAGTCTTGAAGGAGTTCCCATGATGCTTAGCACTTGTTGGCCCCTTCACTCTGTGGTCCAGCCCCAAAACCATCTGGACTGGGTTCAGGTCCAAAACCATCTGGACCGGGTTCAGGTTCAAAACCATCTGGTCCAAAACCATCTGGACTGGGTTCAGGTCCAAAACCATCTGGACTGGGTTCAGGTCCGGTGACTGTGGAGGTCATGTGGCTCAGCACCATCTCTCTCCTTATTGGTCAAACAGCCCTGACACAGCCTGGTGTGGGTCTACAGCAATAGTCATGTGTCTGTGTGTCTGTGTGTGTGTGTGTGTGTGTGTGTGTGTGTGTGTGTGTGTGTGTGTCTGTGTGTGTGTGTGTGTGTATCTGTGTGTATGTCTATAACTGGTTTTACTTTGAACAGTTGCTTCATCTCTCGCTGCGTGCTGCATAACTCAAAAACAAATTATAGAAACTGGAAAATCAGAGCAGATAGGACTGATGCAAGAGAGAGGGAGGAGGAGGTGAGGAGGGAGGAGGAGGAGGCGGGGAGGAAAAGGAGGTGAGGAGGAGGAGGTAAGGAAGAGGTGAGGGGGAGGAGGTGAAGAAGAGGTGAGGAGGAGAAGGTGAGGGGGAGGAGGTGAGGAGGAGGAGGTGAGGAAGAGGAGTTTGTGTTTTTGCTCCATCAACATCATATACAACAATATAACTGTTGAATAACTTTTGATTAGTCTCTCTCTGGTCTCTCTCTGGTGTCTCTCTGGTCTCTCTCTGGTGTCTCTCTGGTCTCTCTCTGGTCTCTCTCTGGTGTCTCTCTGGTCTCTCTCTGGTGTCTCTCTGGTCTCTCTCTGGTGTCTCTCTGGTCACCAGAGAGACACCAGTGGAGAGTTTCATCAACAGGTATTGATCTTGCACTAATTTCCCAACCTTCCCTGGTCTCGGACACAGACCTCCCCTGGTTTCGGACACAGACCTCCCCCGGTCTTATCTCAGACCAGTCCCGAGGCCCTGGGCTCCTTCTCAGATAGACTCTGTGTTGAACATGATGAATGATGTATCTCTCTTTGGTCTCTTATCTGTGGATGGGACCAGACTCTGCAGACTCTGAGCCCTGAGGCAGAGGTTTAGGCAGAGGTTTAGGCTGAGGCAGAGGCTGAGGCAGAGGCAGGGGCTGAGGCTGAGGCTGAGGCAGAGGCAGGGGCTGAGGCTGAGGCTGAGGCAGAGGCTGAGGCAGAGGCTGAGGCAGAGGCTGAGGCAGAGGCAGGGGCTGAGGCTGAGGCTGAGGCAGAGGCTGAGGCAGAGACAGATCGCTGATCGCTGGACATTAGCCGTCGCGGTTTGTTTGTTTGGTCATACAAATTATTATTATTTTTTGACATAAAAAAGGACAAATGCTAACACTGCGTCATATTTATTGGCTTTATTAAACCTTGAAGCCTCTCCACAATCCTCCAATTACCTCCGACTCATCCTTCAGGATTCTGGAGCGCGGGTCTTCGCTCTGAGTGCGGTCAGAGGAAACAGAAGGTCAGGTCTCTGCGATCGCTGCTGATGCGGGAGTTTAAGGGTTTTCAAAGACCCAGAACAAAGCAGACCTTTGGCTCTTATCAGATGTATTGATTCTGCTGCTGTAGTGGGGAAGCGGCACGAGCTGCGGCAGCGGAGGGTGGGCTCAGAGAGGGCGGGTTCAGAGAGGGCAGGGTCAGAGAGGGCGGACTCAGAGAGGGCGAGCTCAGAGGGGGCGAGCTCAGAGGGGGCGGGTCAGAGGGGGCGGGGTCAGAGAGGGCGGGAACAGAGGGGGCGAGCTCAGAGAGGGCGAGCTCAGAGGGGGCGAGCTCAGAGGGGGCGGGGTCAGAGGGGGCGGGGTCAGAGAGGGCGGGAACAGAGGGGGCGAGCTCAGAGAGCGCGGGATCAGAGAGAGGGCGAGCTCAGAGAGGGCGGGATCAGAGAGGGCGGGATCAGAGAGGGCGGGATCAGAGAGGGCGAGCTCAGAGAGGGCGAGCTCAGAGAGGGCGGGATCAGAGAGGGCGGGATCAGAGAGGGCGGGATCAGAGAGGGCGGGATCAGAGAGGGCGAGCTCAGAGGGGGCGGGGTCAGAGGGGGCGGGGTCAGAGAGGGCGGGATCAGAGAGGGCGGGATCAGAGAGGGCGAGCTCAGAGGGGGCGGGGTCAGAGGGGGCGGGGTCAGAGAGGGCGGGAACAGAGGGGGCGAGCTCAGAAAGGGCGGGATCAGAGGGGGCGGGCTCAGAGAGGGCGGGATCAGAGAGGGCGAGCTCAGAGAGGGCGGGCTCAGAGAGGGCGAGCTCAGAGAGGGCGGGCTCAGAGAGGGCGAGCTCAGAGGAGGGCGGGCTCAGAAAGGGCGGGATCAGAGAGGGCGAGCTCAGAGAGGGCGGGTCAGAGAGGGCGGGATCAGAGAGGGCGGGTTCAGAGAGGGCGGGCTCAGAGAGGGCGAGCTCAGAGAGGGCGGGCTCAGAGAGGGCGAGCTCAGAGAGGGCGGGCTCAGAGAGGGCGAGCTCAGAAAGGGCGGGATCAGAGGGGGCGAGCTCAGAGAGGGCGGGTTCAGAGAGGGCAGGGTCAGAGAGGGCGGGATCAGAGAGGGCGGGTTCAGAGAGGGCGGGCTCAGAGAGGGCGGGCTCAGAGAGGGCGAGCTCAGAAAGGGCGGGATCAGAGGGGGCGAGCTCAGAGAGGGCGGGTTCAGAGAGGGCGGGTTCAGAGAGGGCGGGCTCAGAGAGGGCGGGCTCAGAGAGGGCGGGCTCAGAGAGGGCGGGATCAGAGAGGGCGGGGTCAGAGAGGGCGGGGTCAGAGGGGGCGTGCTCAGAGAGGGCTCAATTTATCCAACTCAATTCATTCTAGTATCGCCCTAAATTATAACAGTAGTTTTCTTGGAGGACTTAACAAAACCGTTGAATTCACATGTCCTCAAATGTGGCTGAATGTGGAGTGTCCCGGATCATCTCTGTCCTTAGACCAAGCCCCGTGATCCAAGATGGCGTCCTGTTCAAGTGAATGGCTTGTGCTACGCAGCGCATGGGACTTACACGGGAACCGAAAGATTAGTGGAACTCGCCTATATTTGGGCATCGTGTGGTCCTCCCGGTTCTGCGCAGTGGACGAGCTCCCATGATGCTTTGCGCCAAATACACGTGTGTGGCGGTCATGCACGTGCACAGAGGGGCTCGGCCGCGCTCTGACCAATCAGAGCTGATCAGAGCAGCAGCAGAGCGGAGTCAGAGGGGAAGGAAACGAGCAGAGTTTGTGGCAGTAAAGTGTGGATTTAAAGAAAAAGGTTCAGAATGAAAAGGGACAATCCCCACAGAATCAGACCTTTATGAAAACTGTAGGTTCTCTGTCAGGTTCTCTGTCAGGTTCTCTGTCAGGTTCTCTGTTAGCTGAGGTTAAGATGTTTTAGTTTACATTGAGTCTTGTTTAGTCTGCAGTACCGCGGGAAGCGTTATGATAGATCCATGACTTTGACCCCCCTGCGTCTCCGTACAGCTCTGCAGCTCGGAGAGGGCGGGCTCTACTGTCCTCCACCAAGGACTGAGCGGGACAATGGGGGACGGCTGAGTGGGCCGCTAACGTCCTGTCACCGTAATGGGCCGAGGACTGGCTCATTTAAGAGCAAATGTATGATCCATTATGAGCGTGAGGACAGAGAGTGGGCGGAGGGAGTGCAGTGTGAAGTCAGGACCAGGATAATGGACACGAGCGTTTTGACTGAAGCCAACAGTGCAGCAGTTACTATAGCTTTATGTGAGTGTGTGGTTAGTGGTTACTCCGGGCCCAAACTACACACTGTAAATATTAACAGACGTGGTCACACCTATCTCCGCCGTTCAAACTAATGTACCATCACTTTCCCCGTTTATGGGCAGTTTCAAAATGGCCGCGGGGGCCTGAAAATGTGAAAAAACAGGGACTAAACTAGACTGGTCGAAAACAATACACTCCCCTCAACATTGACACATATGGATCGTAGTTTTCGACCAAGAGTGACTTTTGAACCATCCTGTAACAACGTTTTCAAGAGGGAAGAAGATACTATACATTAGTAATGAATAATTCTTATTCCGGGTCCAGCCCCACTGGCCCTGGGTGGTATAGCGAACTATCTGAATGACGTCACTAAGACACGCCCCCGCCGCCTGTCAACTCCCGCCCACATGTTTCGGACAAACACTGCCGAAATGAATCAAATACCACTTGTCACTTTAGACAAAAATTAAATACCAGGGGCAAAATTCCACCATCAAACCATCAGGGATCATAGTGTAGACCAATTATAACGTTGGCTTGAATGTCGTGGTCTGTCTCTGGTAGAACATTTGAGTTGATAAAAAGATAATGGTAAGGATTATGCTAACATTATCTAGTCATTTAAATTGCAATGCTAGCGCCTTCTTTGTTTGTTTTGCTGTGATTAACTTCCATTTATCAAGTTTTTTTTTTTTTGCACTATCCACTTTGTAATTAGTTTGATCATTAGTTAGCTACAGTCAGCTGATATTATAACAGATCCATGGGGTCACAACGGGTTACGCCACTGTCTCTGAGAGAAACTATCAGAGCTAGCCACACTCAGTAAACACAAATGACAATCAATCGACACATTTAAATGTTAATGGGAGAATACATTATACATACATTCATAACACAAGTGCACGGAGGTTTTCAGAATTATCTGTTCAGGTTTTCATGACAAAAATACTTTTTTAATGCAACTAAAGCGATCGCTTTTTTAAAGTAGGTTAACTATCCTCACTGTTACTCGCCTGCCACGGGAAAACCTGTGGGAACTATTTTCTTTGCACTCATTAAATAAACCTTTCGGCATTAATAGTGAATGACGTTTATTTTGCGTGTTGAGTTGGTACAAAGCAGTATAATAAGCGGACCCCGACGCGCTTCGTCTGAACTTATTTTCAGATAGTCACAAAGTTGAAAAAAATCCCTCTCATCTTTCTTCAGGTGTGAGAATTGTATACTTTCTGGATTAGGACAAACAATACTAATATGGATTGATGGGGGTAAATGGTGTAAAGAGAAAGTTTGTGCTAACTACATTCAGAAGAGCTCAGACGGACCTGATCCAGACGGTCCAGGTCCAGTCCCAGCTAAACGTAGCTAGGACTGGATCTGGATACTCCACAGTTGGTCCAGCGAAGTGTTTTGAAAAAACATGTGTCCTTTTTAACCTTTTCATGAGAGAAATTCTGCCGACCACAAGCACCCACCTCTTGCACTTGTCCTGGTCTGATCTGGTCCTGGTCTGGTCCTGATCTGGTCCGATGTTGTGGTTTAACGAACGGGTTGAATGTTACTTTGATAGTCCTTTTCAGAATATCTGAAATCGCTCCGACAAGCACCATAACTGCAGTGTTTTGTTGTCACCATGATTTAATGATTTAGCCCAAGTCAATACACACGCGTATGAGGAGAACACAGTACTCAACGCGTCGTACACAATGTTTGTCCGAAACATGCGCGCATGCGCAGTCATCTGAGCTATTTTTAGCACATTTCGGAAACCGGACAGTGCCCTATTGCAGCATGTCAGCGCACGTCATTTTGGTCATTTCTCGTCTCTGCTTAGACTGCTGCCCCCGCGACCCGGCAACGAATGAAACGGAAGAAAATGGATGGATGGATGGACACAAATAAATTGAATTAAATAGAACTCAGGACTTTCTTTCTGCTGCACCACTTCACTCAGTCCAAAAGAATTTGGGAAATCTAATAAATCATATAATTATTCTCTTTACACCCACCGGCACGCCGGCGAGCCGTTTTTATTTTAAAAATGTTCTGCTGGCAATAGCAGATGCATTTTGAACACCAAACCCCAGTGTGTAAACTACATCAGACTTTGCATTCAAAAGATATAACCCAAACTTCAAAGGATGCAGAGTGAAATAGGAATGACAGACATTATTTTAGTGTATATTTACATAAACTAGAAGGGCCTAGCTTTAAAATGATGCATCACACAAGCATGTGAGATGTAAGATGTGTTTTTAAATAAGCAAAGACATTTGGGTCTTTTTGCACAAGCCAAAATGAGGCGGGAGTTAAGAGGTTATACAATAAATCCTTTAGAGAGAAGTGGTTCCGATGACACTGATAATAAATAATAAAGTGAATAAATAAAATCCAAAGTTGTGATTTGTGGATAAACACTTTTCTGTGGTATCTTCATTAGACGAGGAGAAGGTTCAGGCTCAAAGACACAAAGTCAAAGCCACAGAACGAACCCAGAGCGTGTCTCCTGCAGACGACAAAACACACACTGGAAAAACAAAAACAGTAATAACTCCAGTCTCCAAAAAGCAAAATGTCAAACAGTCTGACATTTACCGGGATCCAAAGTTCACAGTCAGGAACAGGACGTGTTTTCAAACCGGCAACATTCTTTTCACCGTCAGGAGGAAGTTTGACCTGCAGCCACTTATTTTACTCATGTCTCACAAGTTCTTCATTAGCCACAAGTTAGCCACACGCCAAAACTACTGCGTCATTCTGAATGTCATCTGTTTTAAAGCAGCTATATGTAAACTGTATCATCATTAAAGGGCCCTAATCTGACATCATTAAAGGGCCCTAATCTGTCATCATTAAAGGGCCCTAGTCTGTCATCATTAAAGGGCCTTAATCTGACATCATTAAAGGGCCCTAATCTGTCATCATTAAAAGACCCTAATCTGTCATCATTAAAGGACCCTAATCTGTCATCATTAAAGGGCCATAATCTGTCATCATTAAAGGGCCCTAATCTGTCATCATTAAAGGGCACTAATCTGACATCATTAAAGGACCCTAATCTGTCATCATTAAAGGGCCATAATCTGTTATCATTAAAGGGCCCTAATCTGTCATCATTAAAGGGCCCTAATCTGTCATCATTAAAGGACCCTAATCTGTCATCAGATTAGGGTCAGATTAGGATCAGAAAGTCTGTGATCCGGGCACCAGAACTCACCGTGTGGAGCTAATCTCACTGGTAAAGTACCATGTGGCACAGAACTAATAAAGGTCTCGTTATGTTTCTCAAATCATTAACGACAAAACCAGGAATAAAACCAGGATTTCTATCTATGTGAAAAAGGTGTTGGTTATAGATTTGTTGTTGACTAAACTCTTGTCTATTCAGCTGTTATGGTCCCAGCTGGATTCGTCTGCATATCTGGCAACCTGAGTCAGGGAGAGTGGGAGAGGCTGCAGTACCACTTTTGGCCACATGTGTACATACTGCTTCTTTAAATAAGGAAAACTGGACCCTCTCGTGGTGCTCTCTCGTGGTGCTCTCTCGTGGTGCTCTCTCGTGGTGCTCTCTCGTGGTGCTCTCTCATGGTGCTCTCTCGTGGAGCTTCTCTGTGGACTCAGTTGATTGCACTAATGATGTTGATGAATAGCAGCGGCTCCGTCAGCGTTTCCTTCACTCACTGACAGATCTTACATTCATACATCGTCAGGAGGACACATCCAGGGACAGGAGGAGCCAAAGTCACCTCCCTCTGCACAGGACTGAGCTGAGGAGCTCCTTCAGTAAACTCTCAAACAGAAATGACTGAACACACAAAATAAACAAACAGCTAAATCACAAACTAACTGCACGCACACACACACCTGCATGCTCACACACTCCTGCACACACACACACACACATACACGTTTTTGTTACCTGGTGGGTCCCTTTGACAGGGCCGTTCAGAATGGGACCCATAGACATAATCTTTTTTTACCAAGACTTTAAGTAATACAAAACAGTCAATAGAAACCAAACAACTATTTTAAAGGAATTTTATTTTAGATTTTGTTTTCGAATTGCAGTGATTCTATTTTTGACATAGAATTTAATGCCACTCCATGTCCGATGTCTAAGGTCATCTGGTGAGGCATTAATGCAGGCCAGGCAGTGAGACTTCCCAGGGACCTTTCCAGTCTGTATGAAAGGTGTCATGGTCTTCTCCACAGCCTTCACCTCAGATGCAGACCATGGCTTTCTTACACGTTCTAGGGAGAGAAATAAAAATATATTAGCAATATACACTCCCAGGGTGAGGACCAAGCAGCCTGGCTGTAATCCCCCACCTGGTACACTTACCAGAAGGGGCACTGCCACTACCATGGGGTGCATCTGGATGAATGGTTGAAGGTTCTCCGCTTGAAGTTTCTTTTAGCCCGTCCGTTTGTGAGAGGATCTCTACTGCTCTCCCTGTCGCACAGAAAATAAAAATACAAGTGGCCTTTAGGGGAAAAAAATCATACATATTTTAATAATATCAAGAATTACCTTCAGGCTCAATTTGTATCTGGTCGAGGCTCTTTCCTTCGAATTCCGTCACTCTTCCCTGCTCCATGGCCATCAACACTTTGCTGATTTTGGCCAGCTCCAGTGTCCCCTCTGGTAGTCTGTAATATTGCCTGTGGATGCGAATGTCATGGCCGAGGAAGTTGGCAAGTATGTCCATCTCATTCTCTTTCATATTGAGAACTGTAGACATAGTAGCTATGTGCTTTCTAAGTTTGGTTGAGGATAGCATCTCTGGATGCACCGCACCACATTCTTTGGCTACCTGGCGTAGGGAGTCTGATCCCCTGATGTGGGTGTCTGCGCCCGGGCGGGAAAAGAAGTATGGGTTATGGTCAGAGATGGAACAGGCCCTTCTGTTCTCCACCAGCACCTCCATCGAAGCAATCATTTCAGGAGTCAAAAGAACCGGCACTTTCCGACTTCTTTTCCCTTTAATTTCAATGCGTTGAAAATGCTGACACAGCTTTTTCTCAAGTTGGGACAGTCCCAGAGCAATGTCAGAATGGATCCCAGTCTTACTTCTTAAGGTAAAGGGTGTCAGTGGCATCTTTGAAACCTCACCTTCCCTTCTTCGATTGAAAATGATGACCTCACAAAGAGTCAAAACTGCCAGTTTAGACCAATGCTTAGACGTTGGCTCACTTATTAGGGTTTGCACATATTCAGGTCGACATACCTCAATATGTGCATGCATGGCTCTAACGTCCTCAGTCAGAGGGAGCAGGTCCGGAGTGTTCCACTTGGCTTGCCGGAGGGTCTGTAGGGCAGCAGAAGAAACACAGACGTCCCACCTCTTCTCAAAAAGCAGCCGGCTTCGTTGGAGGTTTTTAATAAATAGTTCATCAACACAATGCTCCATTTTTGAGTCACATTCAAGAATATCTGCTAGCTTTCTGAGGCTATGGCCGAGTTTGAGGGCCAAGGATGGAGTCTTGTATTGATTTGTTTCCTCATCATATCCAGCCACAGACCTGACTGCATCAATCACATGGTTAAAGTTGGAAGGAATAAAGAAATCCTTAATTGTTTTTCAGTTTCCCTGCGGTTTTTGCTTCGTTAATTAACCTACCGACTTCTCTCATTTTCTGCCTAATGTAATCATGCTTTGTCTTATCATGCCCGTGTTTTAAGTACAGGTGCTCTCCGAGTCTCAGAATCCCCTTTTCTGCTTTGACAACACCCGTGACCTCATCCTGATGCATTGCCGAAATTAAAGACCACAGCTTTTTGCTGATGCCCTCCGGTACAGGCTGGGCTAGGGAGCAGAGGGACTGGACCCTACTTCTACCTGGTTTAGCCTGGGCATCTTTCTGTGAAAGCCGGCACCTGGCCACATGCCTCCACAGCGACTTTCGCTTAAGCAATGCCCCACAGTCTATACAGTGCAAAAACTCACTGGATTTAACTGGGCAATTTGGCTGTTTAGCTGGGACTAAAGTTCCAATGCCGGCCTTTAAAACCTCAAAATTGTGCTCACGGTTTCCACTATTCCTGATCAAATCAAACTGAAGTTTACGTGCTTTAGATTTCACAGGTAGAGCCAATGCTCTGGCTACGTCACTTTCATTTCCATGTTTTCTAGTCAAATGACGGGACATTTTGTGGCAGGACATTGAACAGTAGAGGCAGAAGTGTCTCTTGCTGTATACTCGCCCCCCATTTTTCTTCTTTTGCAGCTGCATGATAACAATCTTATTTGCCTTTGGTTCGTCACTTTCCGAGTCTTGAAGAAAAGTGTTTTTGATTTTTCTTTTTCCATACTTTTTTACAGGTTTCTTCTTGACAGTTAAATCGTCAGAATCTGAGTCGACTTCATCAATTAGGGACTCTTGACTAAGCTGCACAAACAACAAATAATTTGTAATCATTCTATATAACAATTTGAAGTCATGACTTGTAGTCAGCACTTACCAGTGGTTTGTAAGCGTGCGCTTCAGTGTGCTCCTCCATGATTTCTTGCAGCCTAATGAACCACACACTTGCACCTTTTTCTAGCCTGACACCTGATTTCCTCTGTTGTGCTGCTCCATGATTGGCTCCAGCCTGCTGGACTGAAATTGCCCCAGTGTGCCCCTCCTTGATATCCCGCAACCCACCACCAGGGTTCCGACACATAACACACTTTTTTCAGGAAAGTAAACCTCCAGGGGTCCTTTCCATATTTTTACAGAGACTGCATAAGGACCGTTAGAAAAGCATTACCCATTGATTATTAAGCTTGGACCAGTGGGGTCCGGTGTTCGGGCCCCACCACGTAAAACCAGTCCCCATGACGTGAGTGGAATCTCAGGTTATGGAACCCACCAGGAGTTGAAAACAAGTGCACACCTGCACGCTCACACACACCTGCACACACACACACACCTGCACACACACACACCTGCACACACACACACCTGCACACGCACACACACACCTGCATGCTCACACACACCTGCACACACACACACACCTGCACGCTCACACACACCTGCACACACACACACCTGCACGCACACACACACCTGCACACACACACACCTGCACGCACACACACACCTGCACACACACACACCTGCACACACACACACACCTGCACACTCACACACACCTGCACACACACACACACACCTGCACACTGTTATGGCCAGATTCCCGGCACAAGATATTCTAATCATTTAGGTCGATACATGCGTTTTCTTTCCCATGCGTCTGAAACCCGCTTCCCATCACTGTTTGAAACATTAAGACAAAGGCTGCTTGTCCACGGTCCTCTTTCCCATAACCTTCGCCACCACCTGCATGGGCCTATCTCAAATGTTCTTACAGCGTGTTCCTTGTTATCAAATTCGAAGGTCCTTTTCTGCGCTTAATGTATCTCTCTCAAACTTTCCCGTCTGCAGCTGCGTATGACTCATCTCTCTTGTGACGATTGTCCATTGTTCTGTCTGACACACCTCCAGTATAAGATCATAAGACATGTTTGTTGGGGAGAGCAGACAGACGCGGCATCGCTCCAGGTCCCGCTTCTGTTTGACTCTTTTCTGCGCAGAAAATGTCATTTTTGTACTCATCACTTCTGTGAATAAAACTGCACCAAAGGACAAGTTTGTTTCCTCTCGGTTTCATTCATTAGAGGCAATAGAATTTCCATAACAACACACACCTGCACGCACACACACACCTGCACACACACACACACCTGCACACACACACACCTGCACACACACACACACCTGCACACTCACACACACCTGCACACACACACACCTGCACGCACACACACACCTGCACACACACACACACACCTGCACACACCTGCACACACACACACACCTGCACACACACACACACCTGCACACACACACACACCTGCACACACACACACACACCTGCACACACACACACACCTGCACACACACACACCTGCACACACACACACACCTGCACACACACACACACCTGCACACACACACACACACCTGCACACACAAACGCCATTCTAGTCCGCCAAAGGTGCGCACTTGTGGGGTTAGAAACACACATAAGCAAACATTCATACAGCTCCCGGTCTGTCGCTTCCTCTGGGTCTGTGCGCGAGGATTTAACCAGGACCACACTTCCTGGTGGGTTAAATGCGCCCTGGGAGCGCGGGGGAATGTGCTCATGTGATGCGCATAATTAAATGTACATGTTTTGAATGTTTAATGTTAAAGTATAGTTTTCTGTTGGACTATTAGGGAATGGGCCCATATATATTTGTTCTGTGTTTATGCGTCCCATTTCTGACTGCAAGGGGACTATAAAGAACAGTCAGTCTGCCGCTGGTTACAGAGGAGGTAACTACTTAAAGGTGACCTATGAGTCAGTCTGAACCTGTTGTTTTTTCTGCTTAACTCACTGTACATATGCTCTGCTCTGCCTGCACCATTTTTTTTGCACTTTGGGAGAATTAAAACACACCTAATCACGGCAATCCGAGCTCGCCTGTTATATTTTATCAAGTAACCCACGACACTAACATTTCATTTTAAACATGGCGAATGAATGTTGAGATAAAACTCGATGATGTCCGCCACATCCGCCACACTTCCTACTGCCAGCAGAGGGCGACACTTCTGCAACAGACCCACAATAATGTCCTGAAAACACAAAAGTCCAAACCACATTCAGATTGCTAACCGTGTGGAGCTGCCATTACTGTGGAAAGTGCTCTCCAACTCTGGAAGGATTAGGCCCCGCTCCCCTCTGCATTCTACTTAATTGGCTTAGATAAATATCTGAAGACTTAAGCTGGATTTAAGCCTTGCAATTAGTCGAGTGCCGTTATTGAATTCACAAATGCCACAATGGCTGCTCCCGCCGCTCTCCACTCGCTGCAGATGTTGTTGTTTATTTAAAGCACGAGGCTGAAGGAAGAGAGCGCGCAGAAAACTGCACAAAAGTCAATACGCCACGAAATTATCATGTGTAATGGTCTGTAACATCCTTAATATCACTCTCTCTCTCTCTCTTTCTCTAGTCTCTCACTCTGGTCTCTCTCTCTGATCTCACTGGTCTCTCTCAGGTCTCTCTCTGGACTCTCTCTCTAGTCTCTCTCTGGTCTCTCTCTGGTCTCTCTCAGGTCTCTCTCTGGACTCGCTCTAATCTCTTTCTGGTCTCTCTCTCTGGTCTCTCTCTAGTCTCTCACTCTGGTCTCTCTCTGGTCTCTCTCTCTGATCTCACTGGTCTCTCTCTGGTCTCTCTCTGGTCTCTCTCAGGTCTCTCTCTGGACTCGCTCTAATCTCTTTCTGGTCTCTCTCTCTGGTCTCTCTCTCTGGTCTCTCTCTCTGGTCTCTCTCTGATCTCTCTTTGGTCTCTCTCTCTGCTCTCTCTCGCTGGTCCCTTTCTGGGCTCTCTCACTGGTCTCTCTCTGGTCTTTCCTTCAGGTATCAAAAAAGTATCCATCTCTCTGGTCTCTCTCTCTGGTGTCTCTCTGGTCTGTCTCTGGTCTCTCTCTCTGGTCTCTCTCTGGTCTCTCTCTCTGGTTTCTCTTTCTCTGGTCTCTCTCTCTCTGGTCTCTCTCTGGTCTCTCTCTGGTATCTCTCTCTCACTGGTCCCTTTCTGGTCTCTCTCTGGTCTTTCCTACAGGTATCAAAAAAGTGCCCATCTCTCTGGTCTATCTCTGGTCTCTTTCTGGTCTCTCTCTGGTCTTTCTCTGGTCTCTCTCTCTCTGGTCTCTCTCTGGTCTCTCTCTCTCTGGTCTCTCTCTGGTCTCTCTCTGCTCTCTCTCTGCTCTCTCTCTAGTTTCTCAGTGGTCTCTCTCTGATCTCTCTTTGGTCGCTCTCTCTGGTCTCTCTCTGGTCTCTCTCTGGTCTCTCTCTGGTCTCTCTCTGGCCTCTCTCTGGCCTCTCTCTGGCCTCTCTCTGGTCTTTCTCTGGTCTCTCTCTCTCTGGTCTCTCTCTGGTCTCTCTCTCTCTGGTCTTTCTCTGGTCTCTCTCTGGTCTCTCTCTCTCTGGTCTTTCTCTGGTCTCTCTCTGGTCTCTCTCTGGTCTCTCTCTCTCTGGTCTTTCTCTGGTCTCTCTCTGGTCTCTCTCTGGCCTCTCTCTGGCCTCTCTCTGGCCTCTCTCTGGTCTCTCTCTGGTCTCTCTCTGGTCTCTCTCTGGTCTCTCTCTGGTCTATCTTTGGTCTCTCTCTCTGGTCTCTCTCTGGTCTCTCTCTGGTCTCTCTCTGGTCTCTCTCATGTGTAATAGCCTGTAACATCCTTAATCTCGCTTGTTGCCGCTCGGAAAAGCACAGAAATGGCGGATGGTGGACGTGGCCCAGTTTTGGAAGCCCCTCTTCTCTCTGACGAACGATCGCTGTCGCAGCAGTCCATGGGAATAATGTGGGTCATATTTCATTCATGGGAGACAGAGGGAGACTGAGGGAGAGACTGAGGGAGAGACTGAGGGAGAGACTGAGGGAGACTGAGGGAGAATGAGGGAGAGACTGAGGGACAGACTGAAGGAGACGGAGGGAGAGACTGAGGGAGACAGAGGGAGAATGAGGGAGAGACTGAGGGAGTATCCAGCTGAAGAAGCGTCATCCAAGGAGCCATCTTCACCAGGAGCAGAGAGCCGCCTACAGCTACAGGGGACAACACAGGACCCAGAGGAGAGAGGAGGCCCTCTTCTAGAACCAAGAGCCAAGAACTCTGCACCTCTTCATTCTTAACTCTGCACCTCTTCAGTCTTAACTCTGCACCTCTTCGGTCTGAACTCTGCACCTCTTCAATCTGAACTCTGCACCTCTTCGGTCTGAACTCTGTACCTCTTCAGTCTGAACTCTGCACCTCTTCAGTCTGAACTCTGCACCTCTTTGGTCTGAACTCTGCACCTCTTCAGTCTGAACTCTGCACCTCTTCAGTCTGAACTCTGCACCTCTTCGGTCTGAACTCTGCACCTCTTCAATCTGAACTCTGCACCTCTTCAATCTGAACTCTGCACCTCTTCGGTCTGAACTCTGCACCTCTTCAGTCTGAACTCTGCACCTCTTCGGTCTGAACTCTGCACCTCTTCAGTCTGAACTCTGCACCTCTTCGGTCTGAACTCTGCACCTCTTCAATCTGAACTCTGCACCTCTTTGGTCTGAACTCTGCACCTCTTCAGTCTGAACTCTGCACCTCTTCGGTCTGAACTCTGCACCTCTTCAATCTGAACTCTGCACCTCTTCAGTCTGAACTCTGCACCTCTTCGGTCTGAACTCTGCACCTCTTCAATCTGAACTTTGCACCTCTTCAGTCTGAACTCTGCACCTCTTCGGTCTGAACTCTGCACCTCTTCAGTCTGAACTCTGCACCTCTTCGGTCTGAACTCTGCACCTCTTCGGTCTGAACTTTGCACCTCTTCAGTCTGAACTCTGCACCTCTTCAGTCTGAACTCTGCACCTCTTCAGTCTGAACTCTGCACCTCTTCAGTCTGAACTCTGCACCTCTTCAGTCTGAAGAGGTGAACTCTGCACCTCTTCAGTCTGAACTCTGCACCTCTTCAGTCTGAACTCTGCACCTCTTCGGTCTGAACTCTGCACCTCTTCGGTCTGAACTCTGCACCTCTTCGGTCTGAACTCTGCACCTTTTCAGTCTGAACTCTGCACCTCTTCAGTCTGAACTTTGCACCTCTTCAGTCTGAACTCTGCACCTCTTCAGTCTGAACTCTGCACCTCTTCAGTCTGAACTCTGCACCTCTTCGGTCTGAACTCTGCACCTCTTCAGTCTGAACTCTGCACCTCTTCGGTCTGAACTTTGCACCTCTTCAGTCTGAACTCTGCACCTCTTCAGTCTGAACTCTGCACCTCTTCAGTCTGAACTCTGCACCTCTTCGGTCTGAACTCTGCACCTCTTCAGTCTGAACTCTGCACCTCTTCAATCTGAACTCTGCACCTCTTTGGTCTGAACTCTGCACCTCTTCAGTCTGAACTCTGCACCTCTTCGGTCTGAACTCTGCACCTCTTCAATCTGAACTCTGCACCTCTTCAGTCTGAACTCTGCACCTCTTCGGTCTGAACTCTGCACCTCTTCAATCTGAACTTTGCACCTCTTCAGTCTGAACTCTGCACCTCTTCGGTCTGAACTCTGCACCTCTTCAGTCTGAACTCTGCACCTCTTCGGTCTGAACTCTGCACCTCTTCGGTCTGAACTTTGCACCTCTTCAGTCTGAACTCTGCACCTCTTCAGTCTGAACTCTGCACCTCTTCAGTCTGAACTCTGCACCTCTTCAGTCTGAACTCTGCACCTCTTCAGTCTGAAGAGGTGAACTCTGCACCTCTTCAGTCTGAACTCTGCACCTCTTCAGTCTGAACTCTGCACCTCTTCGGTCTGAACTCTGCACCTCTTCGGTCTGAACTCTGCACCTCTTCGGTCTGAACTCTGCACCTTTTCAGTCTGAACTCTGCACCTCTTCAGTCTGAACTTTGCACCTCTTCAGTCTGAACTCTGCACCTCTTCAGTCTGAACTCTGCACCTCTTCAGTCTGAACTCTGCACCTCTTCGGTCTGAACTCTGCACCTCTTCAGTCTGAACTCTGCACCTCTTCGGTCTGAACTTTGCACCTCTTCAGTCTGAACTCTGCACCTCTTCAGTCTGAACTCTGCACCTCTTCGGTCTGAACTCTGCACCTCTTCGGTCTGAACTCTGCACCTCTTCAGTCTGAACTCTGCACCTCTTCGGTCTGAACTCTGCACCTCTTCAGTCTGAACTCTGCACCTCTTCGGTCTGAACTCTGCACCTCTTCAGTCTGAACTCTGCACCTCTTCGGTCTGAACTCTGCACCTCTTCGGTCTGAACTCTGTACCTCTTCAGTCTGAACTCTGCACCTCTTCGGTCTGAACTCTGCACCTCTTCGGTCTGAACTCTGTACCTCTTCAGTCTGAACTCTGCACCTCTTTGGTCTGAACTCTGCACCTCTTCAGTCTGAACTCTGCACCTCTTCAGTCTGAACTCTGCACCTCTTTGGTCTGAACTCTGCACCTCTTCAGTCTGAACTCTGCACCTCTTTGGTCTGAACTCTGCACCTCTTCAATCTGAACTCTGCACCTCTTCGGTCTGAACTCTGCACCTCTTCGGTCTGAACTCTGCACCTCTTCAGTCTGAACTCTGCACCTCTTCGGTCTGAACTCTGCACCTCTTCAGTCTGAACTCTGCACCTCTTCGGTCTGAACTTTGCACCTCTTCAGTCTGAACTCTGCACCTCTTCAGTCTGAACTCTGCACCTCTTCGGTCTGAACTCTGCACCTCTTCGGTCTGAACTCTGCACCTCTTCAGTCTGAACTCTGCACCTCTTCGGTCTGAACTCTGCACCTCTTCAGTCTGAACTCTGCACCTCTTCGGTCTGAACTCTGCACCTCTTCAGTCTGAACTCTGCACCTCTTCGGTCTGAACTCTGCACCTCTTCGGTCTGAACTCTGTACCTCTTCAGTCTGAACTCTGCACCTCTTCGGTCTGAACTCTGCACCTCTTCGGTCTGAACTCTGTACCTCTTCAGTCTGAACTCTGCACCTCTTTGGTCTGAACTCTGCACCTCTTCAGTCTGAACTCTGCACCTCTTCAGTCTGAACTCTGCACCTCTTTGGTCTGAACTCTGCACCTCTTCAGTCTGAACTCTGCACCTCTTTGGTCTGAACTCTGCACCTCTTCAATCTGAACTCTGCACCTCTTCGGTCTGAACTCTGCACCTCTTCGGTCTGAACTCTGCACCTCTTCAGTCTGAACTCTGCACCTCTTCGGTCTGAACTCTGCACCTCTTCAATCTGAACTCTGCACCTCTTCGGTCTGAACTCTGCACCTTTTCAGTCTGAACTCTGCACCTCTTCGGTCTGAACTCTGCACCTCTTCAGTCTGAACTCTGCACCTCTTCAGTCTGAACTCTGCACCTCTTCAGTCTGAACTCTGCACCTCTTCAGTCTGAACTCTGCACCTCTTCAGTCTGAACTCTGCACCTCTTCAGTCTGAACTCTGCACCTCTTCAGTCTGAACTCTGCACCCCTTCAGTCTGAACTCTGCACCCCTTCAGTCTGTATTGTGTTGTGTGCTCCCGCTAGGCTACAGCTGCTAGCTCCTCCGCGCAGCTCCTTCAAAGCCACTGAGCCCATTGATTTGACAGCTAATTTACACAGGAGATTAGCATACAGTCGCTCGCTAATAAGACAGGCTCCTCTCATGCTTTTGTCTCAGCGTGCCATCGCCTTTTTCCATTTTTAGACCGTGTTAAATAGCAACGGATAATGCGAGGAATTAGAAAGACAAGACATTCAAATTGGATATTGATTCCACGGCCGAAGCCTGGCGTTCGCCCTGGTCCTGCTTGTCTTTAAGTGATTGATTTACAATAGCACGCTTGACTCTCGGCGCGGCGCTGTCCGGTGCTGAACGCTTTGACACAGACTTAAAGACAGAGGCCGCTCCCTGTGGCTCCGGTGTGTTTGTTATTACTGCATTCACCGTGTTCTCTGATCTGTAGTTGGTGAATCCACAACTTTGTAAAGTCCTTTGAGACGTCCGCGGCTGTGGTTTAGGACCGGACACAAACACGTCAAGTTCAAAGTCATGGTTCAACTTTACTGCCCCCTCAGGGAAGTTTGTCTCAGGCTCACGGCTGTGGGACACAAACACACAACATGCCGTGATGTGAGAGCGTCCCTTCAGGGCCGGGATATAAATCAATACACAAACTATATTTACACAATATTGTATTGAGTTTGTGTATTTGCAGGAGCTGTTTATAAACCGCAGTGTAGCCCCACACTCTCAAACACATACAGCACTCTCGCTTCGCAGCAAGAAGGTCCTGGGTTCGATTCCTCCTCCAGGCCTTTCTGTGTGGACTTTGCATGTGTCTGCGTAGGTTTCCTCCAGACGTTCCGGTTTTTAGGAATGCACCGATTCCACTTATTTCAAAACCGAATACCTTAATTTGAGAACTTGCTGATACAGAGTATCGATATGAATACTGCACAGACTTTAAATATTATTGCATTGTGTTATCTCTGGGAATTCATAAAACTAATACAACTGAAATTTAAAATGTTTTATTTCTCATTTCAACAAAAATGTTTTAACAATTAAATATTTTAGCAATAGTTTTAACAGTCAACAATAAGAGCCACTGTCATATTCCCCTCATTCAAATGGTACAAAGAAATAGCTCTAATGCTAGCAAAGGTGCTATACTCTGGTGCTAGCAAAGGTGCTACACTCTGGTGCTAGCAAAGGTGCTACACTCTGGTGCTAGCAAAGGTGCTACACTCTGGTGCTAGCAAAGGTGCTACACTCTGGTGCTAGCAAAGGTGCTACACTCTTGTGCTAGCAAAGGTGCTACACTCTGGTGCTAGCAAAGGTGCTACACTCTGGTGCTAGCAAAGGTGCTACACTCTGGTGCTAGCAAAGGTGCTACACTCTGGTGCTAGCAAAGGTGCTACACTCTGGTGCTAGCAAAGGTGCTACACTCTGGTGCTAGCAAAGGTGCTACACTCTGGTGCTAGCAAAGGTGCTATACCTTGGTGCTAGCAAAGGTGCTACACTCTGGTGCTAGCAAAGGTGCTATACCTTGGTGCTAGCAAAGGTGCTATACTCTGGTGCTAGCAAAGGTGCTATACTCTGGTGCTAGCAAAGGTGCTATACTCTGGTGCTAGCAAAGGTGCTACACTCTGGTGCTAGCAAAGGTGCTATACTCTGGTGCTAGCAAAGGTGCTACACTCTGGTGCTAGCAAAGGTGCTATACTCTGGTGCTAGCAAAGGTGCTACACTCTGGTGCTAGCAAAGGTGCTATACTCTGGTGCTAGCAAAGGTGCTACACTCTGGTGCTAGCAAAGGTGCTATACTCTGGTGCTAGCAAAGGTGCTATATATGTTGCTGGTGTTTTGGACAATTTTAAGCAACACACAGTCCGCTTTACTCCTCACTCTTGTTTACTTTGAAAAACTTCCATACGGCTGTCGGCGTGCCGCTAGCTTGCGTGCGGGTAGCTCGCTAACCGCTAACTTGCTTTCTGGCTGCCGTCTTTGGGAGATCACCACGGCAACATGCGCCTCACAGCGGTCTGCAGTCGTGATGCTGTTGGGTCCTACAGTACGAGTACGAGCCTATGGTATCAGTGTTGGTGCATCCCTGCCGCTTTCCCCTACGGCTAAAACATGCAGAGTACGTCTGAACAGGTCTGAACAGGTCTGAACAGGTCTGAACAGGTCTGAACAGGTCTGAACAGGTCTGAACAGGTCTGAACAGGTCTGAATACGTCTGAACAGGTCTGAACAGGTCTGAATAGGTCTGAACAGGTCTGAACAGGTCTGAACAGGTCTGAACAGGTCTGAACAGGTCTGAACAGGTCTGAACAGGTCTGAACAGGTCTGAATACGTCTGAACAGGTCTGAACAGGTCTGAATAGGTCTGAACAGGTCTGAACAGGTCTGAACAGGTCTGAACAGGTCTGAACAGGTCTGAACAGGTCTGAACAGGTCTGAACAGGTCTGAATAGGTCTGAACAGGTCTGAATACGTCTGAACAGGTCTGAACAGGTCTGAACAGGTCTGAACAGGTCTGAACAGGTCTGAATAGGTCTGAACAGGTCTGAACAGGTCTGAACAGGTCTGAACAGGTCTGAACAGGTCTGAACAGGTCTGAACAGGTCTGAACAGGTCTGAATAGGTCTGAACAGGTCTGAACAGGTCTGAACAGGTCTGAACAGGTCTGAACAGGTCTGAACAGGTCTGAACAGGTCTGAACAGGTCTGAACAGGTCTGAACAGGTCTGAACAGGTCTGAACAGGTCTGAACAGGTCTGAATAGGTCTGAACAGGTCTGAACAGGTCTGAACAGGTCTGAACAGGTCTGAACAGGTCTGAACAGGTCTGAATACGTCTGAAACAGGTCTGAACAGGTCTGAACAGGTCTTGAACAGGTCTGAACAGGTCTGAACAGGTCTGAATACGTCTGAACAGGTCTGAACAGGTCTGAACAGGTCTGAACAGGTCTGAACAGGTCTGAATAGGTCTGAACAGGTCTGAACAGGTCTGAATAGGTCTGAACAGGTCTGAACAGGTCTGAATAGGTCTGAATACGTCTGAACAGGTCTGAATAGGTCTGAACAGGTCTGAACAGGTCTGAACAGGTCTGAACAGGTCTGAACAGGTCTGAACAGGTCTGAACAGGTCTGAATAGGTCTGAACAGGTCTGAACAGGTCTGAATAGGTCTGAACAGGTCTGAACAGGTCTGAACAGTCTGAACAGGTCTGAACAGGTCTGAATACGTCTGAACAGGTCTGAACAGGTCTGAACAGGTCTGAATAGGTCTGAACAGGTCTGAACAGGTCTGAACAGGTCTGAACAGGTCTGAACAGGTCTGAACAGGTCTGAACAGGTCTGAATACGTCTGAACAGGTCTGAACAGGTCTGAACAGGTCTGAACAGGTCTGAACAGGTCTGAACAGGTCTGAATAGGTCTGAACAGGTCTGAACAGGTCTGAACAGGTCTGAACAGGTCTGAATAGGTCTGAACAGGTCTGAACAGGTCTGAACAGGTCTGAACAGGTCTGAATACGTCTGAATAGGTCTGAACAGGTCTGAATACGTCTGAATAGGTCTGAACAGGTCTGAACAGGTCTGAATAGGTCTTAACAGGTCTGAATAGGTCTGAACAGGTCTGAATACGTCTGAACAGGTCTGAACAGGTCTGAACAGGTCTGAACAGGTCTGAACAGGTCTGAATACGTCTGAACAGGTCTGAACAGGTCTGAACAGGTCTGAACAGGTCTGAACAGGTCTGAATAGGTCTGAACAGGTCTGAACAGGTCTGAATAGGTCTGAACAGGTCTGAACAGGTCTGAACAGGTCTGAACAGGTCTGAACAGGTCTGAATACGTCTGAACAGGTCTGAACAGGTCTGAACAGGTCTGAATAGGTCTGAACAGGTCTGAACAGGGTCTGAACAGGTCTGAACAGGTCTGAACAGGTCTGAACAGGTCTGAATACGTCTGAACAGGTCTGAACAGGTCTGAACAGGTCTGAACAGGTCTGAACAGGTCTGAACAGGTCTGAATAGGTCTGAACAGGTCTGAACAGGTCTGAACAGGTCTGAACAGGTCTGAATAGGTCTGAACAGGTCTGAACAGGTCTGAACAGGTCTGAACAGGTCTGAATACGTCTGAATAGGTCTGAACAGGTCTGAACAGGTCTGAACAGGTCTGAATAGGTCTGAACAGGTCTGAATAGGTCTGAACAGGTCTGAATACGTCTGAACAGGTCTGAACAGGTCTGAACAGGTCTGAACAGGTCTGAACAGGTCTGAATACGTCTGAATAGGTCTGAATAGGTCTGAACAGGTCTGAACAGGTCTGAACAGGTCTGAACAGGTCTGAATAGGTCTGAACAGGTCTGAACAGGTCTGAACAGGTCTGAACAGGTCTGAACAGGTCTGAACAGGTCTGAACAGGTCTGAACAGGTCTGAACAGGTCTGAATACGTCTGAATAGGTCTGAATAGGTCTGAACAGGTCTGAACAGGTCTGAACAGGTCTGAACAGGTCTGAATAGGTCTGAATAGGTCTGAACAGGTCTGAACAGGTCTGAACAGGTCTGAATAGGTCTGAATAGGTCTGAACAGGTCTGAATACGTCTGAATAGGTCTGAATAGGTCTGAACAGGTCTGAACAGGTCTGAACAGGTCTGAACAGGTCTGAACAGGTCTGAACAGGTCTGAATAGGTCTGAACAGGTCTGAACAGGTCTGAATAGGTCTGAATACGTCTGAACAGGTCTGAACAGGTCTGAATAGGTCTGAACAGGTCTGAACAGGTCTGAACAGGTCTGAATACGTCTGAATAGGTCTGAATAGGTCTGAACAGGTCTGAATACGTCTGAATAGGTCTGAACAGGTCTGAACAGGTCTGAATAGGTCTGAACAGGTCTGAACAGGTCTGAATAGGTCTGAACAGGTCTGAATAGGTCTGAATAGGTCTGAACAGGTCTGAACAGGTCTGAACAGGTCTGAATAGGTCTGAACAGGTCTGAACAGGTCTGAACAGGTCTGAACAGGTCTGAACAGGTCTGAACAGGTCTGAACAGGTCTGAATAGGTCTGAACAGGTCTGAATACGTCTGAATAGGTCTGAACAGGTCTGAATAGGTCTGAACAGGTCTGAACAGGTCTGAATAGGTCTGAACAGGTCTGAACAGGTCTGAATAGGTCTGAACAGGTCTGAACAGGTCTGAATAGGTCTGAACAGGTCTGAATACGTCTGAACAGGTCTGAACAGGTCTGAACAGGTCTGAACAGGTCTGAATACGTCTGAACAGGTCTGAACAGGTCTGAATAGGGGCCGACAGTGGCTCAGTTGTTAGAGCATTGGCCTTTGAGCCTGAAGGTTGTGGGTTTGAGTCCACCATGAGACCTTCTCCACCGACTCCCACTGATGTCTGCTGTCGTTGTGTCCTTGGGCAAGACACTTTACCCCACTGTAAGATCAAGGCTATGCTCTCACTAACAGAGCAACCTTCTGTGGGCCCACCACCTGCAGGAGGATCAGGGGCTGGTGCTATGAGACTGGGGTGGCATCTCTGACTGCCACCCCCGACCCAGAAATGGATTAAGGGGAAGAAAATGGATAGATAGATGGATGGTGTGAATAGGTCTGAGTAGGTCTGTATGTGTGGAGTGGATGGTGTTGGTCGTAGTTATTCGTTCGGCGCCCGTCATCACCGTGTGGAGAGAATGGAACAATATCCGAAAACTCAAAATTCTGTTCTTTGAAGGACCTTGGTCTTATTTTCAGAAATCTTCATATTCATATAATAGTCATATTTTCTTTTTCTAATGTCAGATCATGTATTATTTTAACCTGTATTTTATTTATTTTCTTGTGTTCTTTCCTTCCTAGGCCCACGTCTGTATCTCTGGGTTAAACTGTGGCTGTGCTGATGATTAGTCCCTCGGTCTGTGTGGATCTATTTTCTGTCAGGCAGGAATCAGCCGAGAGTGCGTTGTTCCAAACAGGCTGCGGTCCTGACCCCGCAACCGTCCGCCACCGTCCTCCACCGTCCTCCACCGTCCTCCACCGTCCTCCACCGTCCGCCACCGTCCTCCACCGTCCTCCACCGTCCTCCACCGTCCTCCACCGTCCTCCACCGTCCGCCACCGTCCTCCACCGTCCGCCACCGTCCTCCACCGTCCTCCACCGTCCTCCACCGTCCTCCACCGTCCTCCACCGTCCTCCACCGTCCTCCACCGTCCTCCACCGTCCTCCACCGTCCTCCACCGTCCTCCACCGTCCGCCACCGTCCTCCACCGTCCTCCACCGTCCTCCACCGTCCTCCACCGTTCTCCACCGTCCTCCACCGTCCGCCACCGTCCTCCACCGTCCTCCACCGTCCGCCACCGTCCTCCACCGTCCGCCACCGTCCTCCACCGTCCTCCACCGTCCTCCACCGTCCTCCACCGTCCTCCACCGTCCGCCACCGTCCTCCACCGTCCTCCACCGTCCGCCACCGTCCTCCACCGTCCTCCACCGTCCTCCACCGTCCGCCACCGTCCTCCACCGTCCTCCACCGTCCGCCACCGTCCTCCACCGTCCTCCACCGTCCGCCACCGTCCTCCACCGTCCGCCACCGTCCTCCACCGTCCTCCACCGTCCTCCACCGTCCTCCACCGTCCGCCACCGTCCTCCACCGTCCTCCACCGTCCTCCACCGTCCTCCACCGTCCGCCACCGTCCTCCACCGTCCTCCACCGTCCTCCACCGTTCTCCACCGTCCTCCACCGTCCGCCACCGTCCTCCACCGTCCTCCACCGTCCTCCACCGTCCTCCACCGTCCTCCACCGTCCGCCACCGTCCTCCACCGTCCTCCACCGTCCTCCACCGTCCTCCACCGTCCGCCACCGTCCTCCACCGTCCGCCACCGTCCTCCACCGTCCTCCACCGCTCCATTACAGGCCTTTGATTCACCTGCAATCACCGGCTCCCAGAGAGAAGGGCCAATCACGGGGCCATTTGTCCTGTGCCCCCACTTACCCGGTGCCAGAACAAAGGCAGCCGCGGCGGCGGAGGAGGCGGACACATCACACGGCTCACACAAAGCCCATGATTAGACTGACATATTGAGCAAAGCCTCTGTATGGATTCTCTTTGTGCAGACCACGGGCAATTTGGTGCAAAAATACAAGTATTGTGTGTTGTCGGTTTAGATGAGAGATTAAAGAGACGTACGATGTGCATTTGTCTTTCATGAGCTTTTAAACAGACAGTGTTCTGTTGTCCTCCGAGCCAAAGTCTCAGCCGCGGTGATTCTTGCTTGTTTGGATGGATAATGCTAACACAGACTGTATACAGATGGATAATGCTAACACAGACTGTATACAGATGAATAATGCTAACACAGACTGTATACAGATGAATAATGCTAACACAGACTGTATACAGATGGATAATGCTAACACAGACTGTATACAGATGGATAATGCTAACACAGACTGTATACAGATGGATAATGCTAACACAGACTGTATACAGATGCTAAAGCTAACACAGACTGTATACAGATGGACAATGCTAACACAGACCGTATACAGATGGACAATGCTAACACAGACAGTATACAGATGCTAAAGCTAACACAGACTGTATACAGATGGATAATGCTAACACAGACTGTATACAGATGGATAATGCTAACACAGACAGCATACAGATGGATAATGCTAACACAGACAGCATACAGATGGATAATGCTAACACAGACAGTATACAGATGGATAATGCTAACACAGACAGCATACAGATGGATAATGCTAACACAGACAGCATACAGATGGATAATGCTAACACAGACAGTATACAGATGGATAATGCTAACACAGACAGTATACAGATGGATAATGCTAACACAGACAGTAGACAGATGAATAAGGCTTTGTGACTTTGTGATTACTTATGACCCTCTACTCCGGGGGTGTCAAACTTATTTTGGTTGAGGGCCGAAAAAAAAATTAAAGGGCCATTCAGGGGCCGAAAGAAGAAGTGGGTTTCATTTGTTATACTTTTTATAATATGAAGGTATCTATATAAATGACATGTTTCACATTAGTTAGACTGGATATTCTTTTCTGAATAGATTTAGTTCAGTTCCTGTGAACTGGACGAAATATTGAAGGTTAATGTGAAGATTTTCTACTTCCGGGTGGATCATCAGATCATTGGTCCTCCCAACTGTCAATCATTCCGGTGATTCGTGCTCGTCAAATAAGACCAGAGAGTTTTGTTCAAAATGCTGCTATTTAATATAATAATTTAAAACATCTCAGGAGCCACTGGAAATGGTCTCGCGGGCCGGATCTGGCCCCCAGGCCTTGACTTTGACACCTGTGCTCTACTCCACACCTACCCTACTCTTTAACCAGTACCAGGCCCTTCTCTAGTCCCCCTTGGCCCTGGTTCCTGGTTCTATCGGGGCCGAGCTGGTACTAAACTGAACCTGTGCTTTCTGTTTAACGTGATACTTCATATTTTAGTCCATGTTTTTGTTTCAATGTGTAAATGACACAGTTATTAATGTGTTTAGTAACAGAGTCCCCCCCCCCTCTCTGGTCCAGAACATTCCGTCAGTCCTGTGCAGATGAAGTGTGAGCGATAACAACCGATTACAATCCTCATTAATATTTAAAAGTTTGCACAAACGAGCCCCGGCCTCAGCTTCGGAGATGCACAAAGCGGTTACCGTGGCAACAGAGCGGGGACGGCGATTAAGGTTGTGTGGCGAAGCGGCCGTGTGGTTATGACTGCGGGGGAAGCGCGGCCTACGGGAACCAGCGGCAGGACTTTTCCAAAGCCCAATAATGAGGCACGCTGAGGGAGAGGGAAGCGTCTGCCCCTCGTTATGTTCACTGCTGTTTCAAACATGTCTCTGCGATCATGACGTGTTTCTGTCTCACTCTGATTATTGTTAGAACATAGAAATCTACTGCGTTAGGCCAAAGGAGTTACAGCTGCTATAAGTAAGATTGTCACGTCAAGTCATCATTAAAGGGCCATAATCTGTCATCATTAAAGGGCCCTAATCTGTCATCATTAAAGGGCCCTAATCTGTCATCATTAAAGGGCCCTAATCTGTCGTCATTAAAAGGCCCTAATCTGTCATTAAAGGGCCCTAATCTGTCGTCATTAAAGGGCCCTAATCTGTCATCATTAAAGGGCCCTAATCTGTCGTCATTAAAAGGCCCTAATCTGTCATTAAAGGGCCCTAATCTGTCGTCATTAAAAGGCCCTAATCTGTCATCATTAAAGGGCCCTAATCTGTCATCACTAAAGGGCCCTACTCTGTCTTCATTAAAAGGCCCTAATCTGTCATTAAAGGGCCCTAATCTGTCGTCATTAAAGGGCCCTAATCTGTCATCATTAAAGGGCCCTAATCTGTCGTCATTAAAAGGCCCTAATCTGTCATTAAAGGGCCCTAATCTGTCGTCATTAAAAGGCCCTAATCTGTCATCATTAAAGGGCCCTAATCTGTCATCACTAAAGGGCCCTACTCTGTCTTCATTAAAGGGTCCTAATCTGTCATCATTAAAGGGTCCTAATCTGTCATCATTAAAGGGCCCTAATCTGTCATCATTAAAGGGCCCTAATCTGTCATCATTAAAGGGTCATAATCTGTCATCATTAAAGGGCCCTAATCTGTCATCACTAAAGGGCCCTACTCTGTCTTCATTAAAGGGTCCTAATCTGTCATCGTTAAAGGGTCCTAATCTGTCATCATTAAAGGGCCCTAATCTGTCATCATTAAAGGGCCCTATTCTGTCTTCATTAAAGGGTCCTAATCTGTCATCATTTAAGGGCCCTAATCTGTCATCATTAAAGGGCCCTAATCTGTCATCATTAAAGGGCCCTACTCTGTCTTCATTAAAGAGTCCTAATCTGTCATCATTAAAGGGCCCTAATCTGTCATCATTAAAGGGCCATAATCTGTCATTGTTAAAGGGCCCTATTCTGTCTTCATTAAATGAGCAATATGTAATATTTGCATGTCAAGTCATCATTAAATGACCCGAATATTTCAAAAGGCGTTATTAAATCATACTCTTTTCGAATTCATCTTTAACTGATAACAGTAGTTCAGCCGAGATATTTGGTTATCAAAATTAGTTTTACAACCCGTAAGAGTTGTTATTGTTTTGATTTTGATGTCCTACCCCCCGCCGTTTCGCCAATCAGGAAGTGTCATGTAAGTCCGTGATTGGGTTGCCAGAACTCCGCGCGGCTCATTAATCTCAGAGGTAAAATAACATGTGGCGCAGAACTAAAAAAGGTCTTGTTATGACTCTCAAATCATTAATGACAAAACAAAGACTAAAACGAGGATTTATATCGGGATGCCTTTGAACAATTGAGACAGCTGATAAAAGTTCACGTGTGATGCAGAATTTTCTACTTTGAATCCGTTCTTCACAGTGACTCTGTTCGTGTGATTCGGTGGTATAGTGGTCTAAACTGTGCGCTTATGATGCAGGAACCCGGGTTCGATCCCGGGCTATGTCTTTTTGTATTTATTGCATGTTATCACATTCTATGACAGATTGCTCTAAAAACGGTAAAAGATGAAGGTCAAGACGTTTTTTTGCCAATTATAGCTTAATTGTAAAAATAATCATTTAAGACCACATGTACCCCAATTAAAATAATGTTAGTCTCTTTTTTGATGTGGGACTTTTACATGTTTGTCTAAAAAATAGGGAATAAATAAAATTGAAAGGTGATATCCTCTTGAGCAAACCCTGATGTTGATATGCTGAAGAAATACGTTCCAACATCCATTCTTCCCACTCCTATTTTGGACATCAATTGCTTATTTATTTTGCATAAACTATGTATAATTACATTGCTTTTATTTTGTTTTTGTTTTTTATCTAAAATGTCCAAATAATAATAATAAAAAAACATTAATCAAAACATTCATTCAGCATTAGCACGGCTGTCATGGCAATGTCAATGGAGACGGACAAACAACTGATAAAATAATTCCCTGTGTTTGCTGCTGGATTTGGTGTGAATCTGGCAACCTGAGTCAGGGAGAGTGGGAGAGGACTACAAAATATTGACTGTGACTGCAGTACCACTTTTGGCCAGATTTTTACATATTGGACCCTAAAGGACCCTAATCTGTCATCATTAAAGGGCCCTAATCTGTCATCATTAAATCTGTCATCATTAAAGGGCCCTAAAATGTCATTGTTAAAGGGCCCTAATCTGTCATCATTAAAGGGCCTGTTGTCAAAAAAGATTTGAGTGACGTGTTCAAAGTTTGATACAGAAAACAGACGAAGATATCCAAGTTTAACATCTGTATTTAATTTATCTTTACAATCAGATATATTCAACAAGAGAGCACCTAAACTATCCATGTCCCTCGCTGGCCCTGTGCTGACTGAGGCCAAGCCAAAGCATATCAGAAGATGTGCAGGAAGAAGGGGGCGTGTCGTATCAGGCATTTCCAGGGTCACGGGTCCATCAGGTCTTCTCCTCCGTCTCGCCAGACCTAAACAGAAATCATTCACACACACTACCCCTCCCTAATTCTATAGAAATATTACTTCCTTGAGATAAGACAGGAGACTCTCAAGGCTGTCCCTCCAGATTCTGGGTCCATCTCCTTCTCCAAACAACGGAAAGGATTAGCAGAATCAGATCTAGCCCCCCCCCCAGATTAACTATCATTAACTCATATTCTGCACTTTGGACTACTAAGAGGAAGGGAGACCAGGTCTTTTTGCTTAGGAAAGAGACAGAGTTCAAATCAGGGTCAGTAAAATTCACATCTGCTTTTTAGTCTATATTTAATACAACATTTCCCTCTCTTGACCTATATTAAACAATTAGGTCACAATCTTTCAATAACCCTTCTGGGTGACGGGACTGGGGAGCTCTTCCATCATCGCCAGCATCTTAATTCTGGCTCGATGTCTGTGAAGAATTAATACAGGGAAAACAAACAACACACAACCACATTGAAACATATGTTTTTATCTAATAAATCCCTCTATACCATGGTTTGCTTTCGTTACCAGTGGCTT